TCTGTGTCCAAATTCCCCTCCCCAAGCTTGCAATTCACCTCCTCAGTGCCCCCAGCACTTCCTCTGTGAAATGGATATAAAAGTATCTACTTCACAACATGGCTGGGAGAATTCGTTGAGATGGTCCTTAGCAAACGCTTCGCAGGCGCTCAGGAAACAGTTGCTGGCATCGCTTGGAGAAGGTCTTCACCCTGGTGGTGGTTTTTGTTTCGTTTTAAGACAAAGTCTTGCTCCGTCGCCCAGGCTGGAGTGCAGTGGTGCGATCTCAGCTCACTGCAAGCTCCACCTCCCGGGTTCACGCTATTCTCCTGCCTCAGCCTCCCGAGTAGCTGGGACTAGAGGTGCCTGCCACCGCGCCCGGCTAATTTTTTGTATTTTTAGTAGAGACAGGGTTTCACCGCGTTAGCTAGGATGGTCTCAATCTCCTGACCTTGTGATTTGCCCGCCTTGGCCTCCCAAAGTGCTGAGATTACAGGCGTGAGCCACCGCGCCCGGCCACCCTGGTGTTTTGAGGTAGGTGAGGATTCCAAGAAAGGCTCCGTCACGTAAATGACATAAACACAGCTAGTGCCCGGGTGGGAAGTGTCCCATCACACTGGAGCTGTGAGCAAGCTCCTGACACCAGATGAACACCCCTTACCTGTGTGTATGTGTGTGCATATGTGTGTAGGGGCACGTGTGGTATGTGGTCTGCATGTGTGTGTATGCGTGTGGTACGTTGGCATGTATGTATGTGGCATGTGTGATATGTGTGGTATGTGGTGTGTATATGTGTAGGTGTGTGTATGTATGTGATATGTATTTGTATGTGGTGTATGTATGCATGTGTGATGTCTGTATATGTGTGTGATATCTGTGTGTGGTGTGTGATTTGTGCATGGTGTGTATGGATGTGCTATGTGGTATGTGTATGTGTGATATCACTGTGTGTGGCGTGTGTGTGTATATGTGTGTTGGGGTATATGTGTGATATGTGATGTGTATATGTGTGTGTGGTATGTGCTGTGTATGTGTGTTTGTGTGTAGGTGGTATGTGACATGTATGTATGTGTGTAGATGTGTATTGCATGATGTGTATAGGTGTGTATTGTATATATGTTTATGAAAGTGGCATGTGTGGTGTGTGTATGTGTATGACATATGCTGTGTATGTGTGTGTAGGTGTATGTTGTGTATGGTGTGTTTATATGTTTATATATGTGTGGCATGTCGTGTGTGGAATGTGTGTGTTGTGTGTGGTGTGTGTGGCATGTATGCTATGTGGTGTGTATGTGTGGTGTGTGTGACGTGCTGTGTATGTGTATGTGTGGTGTATGTGTTTATGTATGTGTGTGGGTATGTGTGGTGTATGTGGTGTGTATGTAGCCTGTGGTGTGTGAAATGTGTGTTGTGTGTGTCATGTGCTGTGTTTATGTGTGTGGTGTATGTGTTTATGTGTGGTATGTATGTTATCTGTGTGGCATGTGTGTGACATGTGGTATGTGTGAAATGTGTGAATGTGTGTGCTATGTGGTGTGTATATGTGTATATGTGGTATGTGTGTGGCATATATGTACTTGTGGTATGTGTGTGGTATGTATGTGGCATGTGGTGTGTGTGAAATGTAAGTGTATTGTATATGCTATGTGGTGTGTATATGTGTATGTGTGCTATGTGGGTGGCATATGTGTTTATGTATGGTATGTGTGTTGTGTGTGGCATGTGTATGTGTATGTGTAGTATGTGTGTGGTATGTATGTGGCATGTGGTGTGTGTGAAACGTGTTGTATGTGCTATGCGGTATGTATATGTGTATGTGTGGCATGTGTGTGGCATGTGCTGTGCATGTGTGTGATGTATGTGTTAATGTATGTGTGAGGTATGTGTGTTGTGTGTGTTTGTGTGGCATATGGTATGGTGAAATGTGAGTGTTGTGTGTGCTGTGTGGTGTGTATATTTGTATGTGTGGTGTGTGTGGTGTGTATGTGGCATGTAGTGTGTGTGAAATGTATGTGTTCTGTGTGCTGTGTGGTATGTATATATGTGTGGCATGTGTTGTATATGTGCGTGTGGTGTATGTGTTTATGTGTGGTATGTGCCAGCTGGTGCTGGCTATTATCATTTGCAGATGAAAGAACTGGGGCAGAGTGGTCACTTGCAAAGGACGGCCCGCCAGCCAGGGACAGAGCTAGGGCTCAGGCTAGCAGCCTCACAGTGCCTCTTACCAGGCTTGGCCAGGCTAAGGGTTTTGGCACCAAAAACAGGAAGGGCAGAAGTGCCAGAGGACAAAGCACTTTCATGCCTCATTTAGCCCTGGTGACATGCTTTGAAATCAATAGATCATTATCCTCACCTGGCCGAGGGGGAAATCAGGCCCTGGGGGAGGCCAGCAGATACCAGCAGGGCTAGGACATGAACCAAGGTCTCCCGATCCTAAATCCCACTGCCCTGTCCCCTCCAGAACAGCTGTGGGTCAAGGCTGGGTCTGGATGGCGACGCTGGCGAGGAGGGTCACATGGACCAGGTTCCTGAAGCCGCACAGCTGTGGCTGGTGTCCCGGATGCTGACGCCTGTTGAGACCTGCTGGTGGCTGGGGTTTCATGTCCTCATTTCACTTGGCCCTCACAACAATCTTGCAAGTATAACATTCTTTCCCTTTTACAGATGAAGAAACTGAGGTTTAGAGAAGCCACTTGCCCAGTGTAGACAGCCGAGAAGAACAGGTCCAGGTCTGCTTAATAATGAAGCCTGTGTCTTCTCTGCTGTGTGATCCTAATCACGTTAGGGGGTTCCTGAGGAAGCAGAGGACTTTGCCGTTCCATTGGAGCCACAGCAGCTCCAATAAGTATATGTGCGTGCATATGTAGGTCCTGTGTTCCTATTGATATTAATATGTACAAATTGCATATTAATATATATTAACATGCATTACTATATAATAATACATATCTGAAATCTGGCTTCAGCTTAAGACTTTGTGTGAGAGTGGTTTGGGGGCTAAAACTTTTTCAACCTGCTGGTCCACATGTCGTACATATGATTCCTTGCACATATTTGAGTCTTGGCACGCCTGCTTCTTTTCTCTTACCCAGAGATGACTCTTCACTAGGAGGCTGTCACAGAACCATCAGAACGACCACTGGTGTAAGACATAGTAAAGCCTACCCGTGTGTTCCTGTGGAAGCAGGCCATGACCAGAGGCTTAATTAAATTCTCAGCTTCTTGAGAGCAGGAGTCAGGGCTGAGGCTGATTAAGTTTGTCACTTCGGATTTCCAGCTCCGGATGGGTACCATGTATGCAGTTGGTGCTTATTAAATGTTTGCTGGTGGTCATTCTGCCTTCTTTTTTTTTTTTTTTTTTTGAGACAGAGTTTTGCCCTTGTCGCTCAGGCTGGAGTGCAATGGCACGATCTCGGCTCACTGCAACCTCTGCCTCCTGGGTTCAAGTGATTCTCCTGCCTCAGCCTCCCTGGTAGCTGGGATTACAGGCACCTGCCACCACATCCAGCTAATATTTGTATGTTTAGTAGAGACAGGGTTTCACCATGTAGGCCAGGCTGGTCTTGAACTCTTGACCTCAAGTGATCCACCTGCCTCGGCCTCCCAAAGTGCTGGGATTACAGGCATGAGCCACCGCACCTGGCATTATTATTACTATGTTTTTGAGACGGAGTCTCGCTCTGTCACCCAGGCCGGAGTGTAGTGGTGCGATCTTGGCTCACTGCAACCTCTGCCTCCCGGGTTCAAGCAATTCTGCCTCAGCCTGCTGAGTAGCTGAGATTACAGGTGGCCGCCACCATGCCCGGCAAATTTTTGTATTTTTAGTAGAGATGGAATTTCACCATGTTGGCCATGTTGGTCTTGAACTCCTGACCTCAGGTGATCTGCCTGCCTCGGCCTCCCAAAGTGCTGGGATTACAGGCGTGAGCCACTATGCCCAGCCTGTTCTGGCTTCTTACATAAATTTTTACAGTGCTTCTCCCAAATAGAAACATTTTCTTCTGTAAAGATTACGGTACTATGTTAATTTCTCCAAAGAGTGGGCTCTCTCATCTATCAATTATGGTTTGTCATGTATCACTATGGTTTTATCCAAATGCTTGTAAAGTGGAATTTTCCCAAAATGTTGTTAATATTTTCTTATAACACGGTATTCATCTCAGGAAGGGAAAGACTTGAACTGGAAGAGAACTCAGCAGTCATCCAGATTAACTCTTTAATTAGCAAATGAGGAAAGTAAAGTTCAACATGTCAGAGGGACTTCCAGGGGTCAACTGGCAAATCCACTTAGCAACCTATATTTGGGAACTGGTTGCTGGTGCAGAAAATAACTGATCTGATTCACAACATCTTCAGATTCTAGATCAATTATATGCTTGGCCAAATTTTTCTGTTATAGTTATGAGAACATTTTTCAGTAACATGTTCTATTCACTATCCATCCAAGCTTCTGTCATTAGATAAGACTTCACCCATGTAACCTGCTACCTAGACACCCCCGGAGGGCAGGGGCTGGGTCTGTTAGCTCACAGTGACTAGTATATACATTTGTTGAATGAATGACTGATGGAACTTGAATTGAAACACAATATATTACTTTGTCATTTATTCCAACGGTCCACTTAGTATAGATCCTGCACTAACCTGTTTAGTTGCTTCTGGGTTTTAGTGACAAATGCCTTTGGTTGCAATTAACAGTGACATAAACATATGGAGGCTTATTTTCTCACAGAATAAGAAGTCCAGAGATGGGCAGTTGCTGACCCTGCTCCAGCAATAATACTCAGTTATGTTGGCATAGCAGCCACAATTCTCTTGGCTTTTCCTCATGGTAGCAATATGACTGCCATAGCTCCAAGCATCGCATCCTGCATTCAACGCAAGAAAAAGGGAGTAAGGGATGAAACCAGCAGATGAGGAAAAGCGAACGCTTCTTTTTTCCCCTGAGAAACCCACTAATAGATTTCTGCTTCAATCTCATTTGCCAACACTGTACCAATGGCCACCCCATAGTTACAAAGGAGATGAGGAAGTATAATGGGCAGGATCTGACCAAAGTCTTTGTGATTGGGCTTGCTCTCTTACGCCTCTGCTGTCACTCAGAGAGAAACATGCCCAAGTTAGCCCTCTGGTGCCACGAGGAACATGAGAAACAGGGGGATCAGAGCCATCCTAGCTGAACTCAGCCCAGATCAGCAGGCCTTAGTGGATCCTGAGATGGGTAAGTCCAGAGCTGCCCAGCTGAACCCAGTCTAGATCAGCTGACCCTCAGCCTCCCCTACCTGCAGATGTGTGAGAATTAATGAGTATTGTTTGTCAATGATTTCTTATTCAGTATGTTTGTAGCCATGGTTAATGGATACAGAAGGCAAACTTCGTGGTTTACCATGGGGTCAGTATCAGAGCATTTATTGAGGCAGACACTGGGGCATAGGAAAGAGGCTTAAGGTACCGTGTCCTCCTGAGGAATGTACGTCCCCAGCTGGCGAGCCTGACGCGTACGCGAGTGAATGAAGCCCCAGCGTCACGTTGCTTTGCCGTGAGTTTTCTCGAGTCATCACCTCCTCAACAACAGAAGCTACTGTGTGCCTGGCATCATGTTAGGCTTTTTACACATTTAATCCCCAACACAGCAGGCTTTTTACACATTTAATCCTCAACACAGCCCTGCACCAGGGAGGGTGCTTTGGGCTGCATGCATCACAAAATACAACTCAAAGGGCCTAAGCCATTGTCAAGAAGTCCTGAGGTCTGAGGCTCTTCAGAGTTGGTTGACTCCGACTCAAGGACACCACTGAGGACCCAAGCTCTTTCCGTCTATACATTCTGCCCTCCTAGCGTGTCAGCCTTAGCCTCAGCCTGGCTGTCCTCATACACTCAAGTGGCTGCAGCCATTCCAGCCAGTATCCAGTAGCAGAAGAAAGAGTATAAAGGCAAAAAAAAAAAAAAAATACCTTTCCCCGAAGTCCCTCTGCAGACTCTCATTGGCCGGATTGTCTCACTTGGCCGTGGTTAAACCACCCAGGAGAATAGAGTCACCATGGCCACCCTTGAGCAGTTAGACTATGCCTTCTGGGGCTGGAGCCAGGCTCCCCTGAAGGCCATGGCTGTGCAGAGTGTGAGTGCCAGAACGCCATCAGAGTTCCGTCTGTAAATCAGGCTAGTACGGCTCAGAGAGTTTATATAACTTGTGCGAGGTCACACCTGGTAAGCTATAGTGCCAGGTTTCCAACCCGGATCTGTCTGACCCCAGATCTCCTCTAGACCCCGGCTGCTTTCCACAGGGTGGTGGGCCGGGGCTGACGTCGTCCCAGGCTGCTGCTGCCCTTCTGCTCCCGCGCTCTTCATGGTCATCCTCCTCCATGACAGCCCATTTTCAATCATGTAGGTGTTCAGTAATCACTCATTTTTCAGCTGGGCAGATACACTCACAGTCCCTGATCATTGCATGGGCTCGTTCCAACACTGTTGTCTGCAGGCCAGGTCTGCCAGATGAATCCCCGCCCCACTGGCAATGGATTCCGCAGCCCGTGGACACGCTTTCTTCCTTCCCGTTCACCCCGTGGCTATTTCTCTGAGAACCAGCAGCGGTGCTAGGAGGAGGGAAGGAAGTTATTGAGTCTGTGTCACTCATTAGCATCTCTGGGGAAGTGTGACCAGGAGGAGGCTGGAGAGGCTGTCTGTCCGTGGTTTCCTGCTGTCGAACCCACGGCTGGCCCTCACGGAGGACACCTGCGGAACAGGCACGTTGTCCGCAACATTGTCAATCCTCAGCTCCGGCGCCGTGATTATTACTCACGTGAACAGTAGCCTCCACCCCGCCTTGGCCCGGAGCAGACTGCGCTGGAATGCTCCTCACCCAGTCGGCTTATTAATGGTGAGCAGCTGTTAATAAGTGAGAGCGTTGGAAAAGGCCAGCGCTTTGGAAACCTGGTTTCTGTACTTCCTATCTGTGGGCTTGGGTGTGCTTTACTCCCTCTGTGCCTTGGTTTTCTCGCTGTGTAATGGGTAATGCCTTGCAGCATTGCTGTGTGGCTCGAGGACCATGAATATTGAGGTTCCAGCGCTTTGTAGGCACCCGAGAGTGGTGGACACTGATACCATTATCACTGGACTTGGGCCAGTAAAACGGAGGAAGTCAAGGCTCCTAAGTGAAACCACTGAGTTGTTTGTTTGTTTTGAGATGGAGTCTCACTCTGTTGCCCAGGCTGGAGTGCAGTGGTGCAATCTTGGCTCACTGCAACCTCTGCCTCCCAGGTTCAAGTGATTCTCCTGTCTCAGCCTCCCGAGTAACTGGGACTACAGGCGCACACCACCACGCCCAGCTAAATTTTGTATTTTGGTAGAGAAGGGGTTTCACCATGTTGGTCGGGCTGGCCTTAGACTCTTGACCTTAAGTGATCCACCCGCCTCAGCCTCCCAAAGTGCTGGGATTTTAGGTGTGAGCCACTGCACCTGACCGAAACCATTGAGTCTTACAAACTTCAGTGCCAATTTCTTATAGCGCTTGGGGTGTGGCCTGGGTTGGACTCTAATGAAGAGTAGTAGTCAGCTGGTATCTTAGTAGTCAGCTGGTATCTTAGCATACACTGAAGCAGGGGTTGATATTTTCCATGAGTACAGGCTTCAAAGTCTTGTGAGCTTCCTTGCTCTGTCCAGGGAACTGGGAAAGAAAAATTTAAGGGATTTATGCTGCCTTCTGGGTAGGGGTGTAAGTTCCTGTTGCTGCTGTAACAGTAATTACCACACACTTAGTTGCTTAAAACAACACAAATTTATTCTCTTGCAGTTCTGGAGGCCAGAAGTTCAAAATGAGTTCCATGAGTTTAAAACCAAGGTATCATCAGGGCTAGTTTTTTTTTTTTTTTTTTTTTTGAGACCGAGTCTCACTCTGTCACCCAGGCTGGAGTGCAGTGGTACGATCTCAGCTCACTGCAAGCTCTGCCTCCCAGGTTCAAGCGATTCTCCTGCCTCAGCCTCCTGAGTAGCTTGGACTACAGGCGCCCGCCACCACGCCCGGCTAATTTTTTGTATTTTTAGTAGAGATGAGTTTCACCGTGTTAGCCAGGATTGGTCTTGATCTCCTGACCTTGTGATCCGTCCACCTAAGCCTCCCAAAGTGCTGGGATTACAGGTGTGAGCCACTATACCCAGCTAGGGCTGGTTCTTTCTGGAGGCTCAGAGGGGAATCCATTTCCTTGTCTTTTCCAGTTTCTAGAAGCTGCCTACAGTCCTTGGCTCATGGCTCCTTCTCTGTCTTCAAAGCACATCACTCTGGCCTTTGCTTCCACAGTCACATCCCCTTCTTTTACCTTTGACCTTCTTGTCTCCCTCTTTTCTTTTCTTTCTTTCTTTCTTTTTTTTTAGACAGCATTTCACTCTGTCACCCAGGCTGGAGCGCAGTGGTGTGTTCACAGCTCACTGCAGCCTGGACCTCTTGGGGCTCAAGCGATCCTCCTGCCTCAGTCTCCAAGTAGCTGGGACCACAGATGTGTACCACCATGCCTAGCTAACTTTTTAATTTTTTGTAGAGATGGGGTCTCCCTATGTTGCCTGGGCTGGTCTTGAACTTAGTATCATGAGAACAGCTTGGGGGAAACTGCCCCCATGATTCAATTACTTCCCACTGGGTCCCTCCCACAACATGTGGGGATTATGGGATTATAATTCAAGATGAGATTTGGGTGGGAACACAAAGCCAAACCGTATCATTTCACCCCTGGCCCCTCCCAAATCTCATATCCTCACACTTCAAAACACAATCATGCACTTCCAACAGTCCCCCAAAGTCTTAACTATTCCAGCATGAACCCAAAAGTCCAAGTCCAGAGTCTCATCTGAGACAAGGCAAATCTCTTTCGCCTATGAGCCTGTGAAATCAAAAGCAAGTTAGTTACTTCCTAGATACAGTGGGGGTACAAGCATTGGGTACATACACCCATTCCAAATGAGAGAAATTGGCCAAAACAAAGGGGTTACAGGCCCCATGCAAGTCCGAAATCCAATAGGGCAGTCATTAAACCTTAAAGTTCCAAAACGATCTCCTTTGACTCCATGTCTTACATCCAGGTCATGCTGATGCAAGCGATGGGCTCCCATGCCCCTCCCAGCTGCTTTCATGGGCTGGCATTGAGTGTCTGTGGCTTTTCCAGGTGCACAATGCAAGCTGTTGGTGGATCTACCATTCTGGGGCCTGGAGGATGGTGGCTGTCTTCTCACAGCGCCACTAGGCACTGCCCCAATGGGGACTCTATATGGGGCTCCAATTCCACATCTGCACTGCCCTAGAAGAGGTTCTCCACGAGAGCTCCACCCCTGCCACAAAATTCTGCCTGGACATCCAGGTGTTTTCATACATCCTCTGAAATCTAGGTGGAGGTTCCCAAACCTCAATTCTTGACTTCTGTGCACCTGCAGGCCCAACACCACATGTAAGCTGCCAAGGTTTGGGGCTTGAACCTTCTGAAGCAATGACCTGAGCTGTATGTTGGCCCCTTTTAGGCACAGCTGGGATGCAGGACACCAAGCCCCAAGACTGCACAGAGCAGCAAGGCCCAGGGCCTGCCCCTCGAAGTCACTTTTTCCTCCTAGGCCTCCAGGCTTGTGATGGGAGGGGCTGCTGTGAAGGTTTCTGACATGCCCTGGAGACACTTTCCCCATTGTCTTGTCAATCAACATTTGGCTTCTCGTCACTTATGCAAATTTCTGCAGCTGGCTTGAATTTCTTCTCAGAAAACAGGCTTCTTTGGCCGGGCATAGTGACTCATGCCTGTAATCCCAGCACTTTGGGAGATGGAGGCAGGTGGGTCACCTGAGGTCAGGAGTTCGAGACCAGCCCAATCAATATGGTCCCTGTCTCTACCAAAAATACAAAAATTAGCGAGGCACAGTAGCAGGTGCCTGTAATCCTAGCTACCCAGGAGGCTGAGGCAGGAGAATCGCTTGAACCTGGGAGGTGGAGGTTGCAGTGAACCGAGATCATGCTACTGCATTCCAGCCTGGGCAACAGAGCAAGACTCTGTCTCAAAAAAACAAACAAACAAACAAGAAAACCCAGAAAATAAGTTTTTCTTTTCTGTCACATTGTCAGGCTACAAATTTTCCAAACTTTTATGCTTTACTTCCCTTTTAAACGCAAGTTCCAATTCCAAACCATACCTTTGTGAATACATAAAACTGAATGCTTTTAAGAGTATTCAAGTCACATCTTGAGTGCTCTGCTGCTTAGAAATTTTTTCCACCAGACACCGTAAATGATCTCTCTCAAGTTCAAAGTTCCACAGATCTCTAGGACAGGGGCAAGATGCTACCAGTTTCTTTGCTAAAGCATAGCAAGAGTCACCTTTGCTCCAGTTCCCAACAAGTTCCTCATCTCCATCTGAAACCACCTCAGCCTGGACTTCATTATCTGCATCACTGTCAGCATTTTGGTCAAAGCCATTCACCAAGTCTTTAGGAAGTTCCAAACTTTCCCACATTTTCCTGTCTTCTTCTGAGCCCTCTATTTCAACCTCTGCCAGTTACCCAGTTCCAAAGTTGCTCCTGCACTTTCAAGTATCCTTATAGCAGCACCCTACTCCCAGTACCAATTTACTGTATTATGCTACTCTCAGGCTGCTGTGAAGAAATACCCAAGAGTGGGTTATTTATTTATTTATTTTTGAGACGGAGTCTCGCTCTGTCGCCCAGGCTGGAGTGCAGTGGCGTGATCTCTGCTCACTGCAAGCTCCACTTTCCAGGTTCACGCCATTCTCCTGCCTCAGCCTCCTGAGTAGCTGGGACTACAGGCACCCACTACCATGCCCGGCTAATTTTTTGTATTTTGAATAGAGACAGGGTTTCACCGTGTTAGCCAGGATGGTCTCGATCTCCTGACCGCGTGATCCACCTGCCTCGGCCTCCCAAAATGGTGGGATTATAGGCGTGAGCCACTGTGCCCGGCCCAGGAGTGGGTAAATTATAAAGAAAAGAGGTTTAATTGACTCACAGTTCCACAGAGCTGGGGAGGCCTCAGGAAACTTAAAATCATGGCAGAAGGCACCTCTTTACAGGATGGCAGAAGAGAGAAAGAGTGCCAGCAGGGGAAATGCCAGACACTTATCAAACCATCAGATTTTGTGAGAATTCACTCACTATCACAAGAACAGCATGGGGAAAACTGCCCCCATGATTCAATTACCTCCCACTGGGTCCCTCCCATGGCGTGGGGATTATGAGATTACAAGTCGAGATGAGGATTTGTGGGTGGGGATACAAAGTCAACCATATCAGCCATATGCCCAGCTAATATTTTTGTCTTTTTTTTTTTTTTGAGGATGGAATCTCATTCTGGATCGCCCAGGCTGGAGTGGCAGTGACCGCGATCCAGCTCACTGCAAGCTCCACCCCCAGGATCACACCATTTCGCTGCCTTAGGCTCGCCGAGTAGCTGGGAGGTACAGGCACCCGGCCACCGAGCACCCAGCTAAGTTTTTTTTGGTATTTGTAGTAGAGAGGTAGGGGGTCACCAGGTTAGCAGGATGTCTCGATTCTCCTGACCTCATGAATGCTGCCCGCCTCAGCGCCTCCAAAGGGCTGGAATGACAGGTGTGAGGCCACCGTGACCCAGCCTTTTTGTTTTTTTTTTGAGACAGAGTTCCTTTGCTTTATCCACCCCAGCTGAATGCAATGGTGTGATCTCGGCTCACTGTAACCTCTGCCTCCTGTATTCAAGCAATTCTCCTGCCTCAGCCTTCCCAGTAGATGGGACTGCAGGTGCGGGCCACCACACCTGGCTAATTTTTATATTTTTAGTAGAGATGAGGTTTCGCCATGTTGGTCAGGCTGGTCTCGAACTCCTTACCTCAGGTGATCTGTCCACCTCAGCCTCCCAAAGGG